GAGCTACTGCGCCCTCAGGCCGGCAGAAGGGCCGTGGTCCAGCTGCGTGAGTGCGCCTTTGGACCTTTGAGCCGGCTCACTCGCCACCACCCGCACCTGCAGCGAGCCTTCTGGAGGCTCGACGCGGCGCTGGTGCCAGCAGCAGGCGTTGCTGCGGCTGCGGCTGCGATCGTGTCGCGGCTGCAGGCCCTCTCGCGGGCGTGGGGCGGCGCTGGCTCCTTCACCGCCCTGCACATGCGCTCAGAGGCCGACTGGATTGCTCACTGCGCGAGGTGGGACTCGATGCCGGCGAGCCCGGGCAACTGCCTCACGAACATCGATGCCATTGGCAATGTCTTTATCATCGAGGGGGTGGACAAGAAGCAGCCGATCTACGTGGCCACCAGTTTGGAGGAGGCGGCGGGAGCATCCGAAGGCCGCCTGCGAAAGGTTCGTGGTCTCTCGACGTTGACAGCCTACCGGCTCGTGTCGAAGGAGACGATCGCGGCAGACGTCATAGCTCCGTTCGCCGGTAAGCGAGAGCTCCTTGCCTACATCGATCTACTGGTCTGCGACCGGGCGTCGCGTTTCGCGGGCAACTCCGTCTCCACCTTCTCCGCTTACTTGCTCATGCGCCGCCGGCATATTGGTCTGCAGCGCGACGACTTTTGGTACAATGGTGGGCCCATTCCTCTGCAGTCGATGATGACGGGGCTGCTTGATCCACTCAGCACCTCGACGGAGCGGCCGCTGAAGTGGGTCTTTACCATCAACGCCAACCCGACCGAGGCTTTTGAGCGCGCGTGCAAGCTCGCCGTCACCTCCGCTTTGGCGGTCACGACGCTGGTCCCGGTCTGCATCTTCAAGGGAGAGCAAAACTACCTATCGGACTGGCTGGCCCAGCGTGGAGTTCGGATCATCTTCTACTCGTCGGAGCCCTCCTGGTCACCTTCGATCCACCGTGCGTTCCTCACGGGAGTTGGCGCCGACGATGCGGCCGCGGGCAACGCCTCCGCCGGACGACACACGTCCACCAACTTTCGCAGCGCCGAGACCATGGCCACAACCTTCCTGCGCATCGACATTCCCGCCCTCGGCTTTGTGGATGAGTATGTGCTCTACGCTGACGTCGACGTCCTCTTCACCAACGACGTCTCCCTCGCCCACTTTTGGCCGCCCCCTGCGATGCTCGCTGTCGGCACAGAAGCCGCCGATCGCCCAACGCGAAGGACGAGTCGGGGCCCCATCTTCTACTCGAATGCGGGGGTGATGCTGCTCAATGTCGAAGCGCTCCGCAAGACGTACTCGTGTTTCGTGCGGGAGACCTTCTCGGTGGAGAATGTGCAGCGCGGCCTCGACTTCGGAAGCTACGGCCCGCTTGACCAGGGCGCGTACAACCGATTCTATCAGCAGATGCTTGACGTGCACGAGTCGCCGAGATTCAACTGGAAGCCGTACTGGGGAGCAGCCCCACCTGACACCAGTATCCTTCAC